CCTTTCACCCCGTTCTCTTGTTCTTCCTCTCCGTGGTCCTCTCCTTGACCCGTCTCCTCTTTTTGTTTGACTTTCTTCCGATACTCGGTATTCAAATTTCGACGTGCGTCCTTGTAATCGTCAAGATCTAAACTGTGTTCGTCCTCGTGGAATGATATTTCCAGGGGCATCGATTCTTCTTTTCCCTCCTCTTTCTCTCTCTCGTGTTTCTTCAAATGTTTACTAAACGAGGTTACATATATATACTGTTTACCACAGTACGGGCATTTGTTTGATCTTTTACCCGACGGGGGTGATTTCGCAACATTGTAACTGTCTTTTTGCAACGTGTCTGGTGTTCTCTTCAGAGACAGTACCTTTCGCACTTCTTCGTGCGAATGCATATGTTCCTTCAAAACGTTCTTCGACAAGAACTCCTTGTCGCACAGATAACATAGGAAAATTTTCTCCGACTGATCGGATGATTGGTCTTTCTTCAATCTTGAGCTTAGGTTCAAATTTTCAAAATAATTCTCTTCGTCAGAATCCCGTTCCGTCTCGCAGTTTCGTCGAACCAATTTGCGTTTGCTTCTTCTCGTTTCATTTTGATACTGAGAATCTGCTTCTTCTGGCTGAATGGAATCCGTGTTCGTAATATCCAATTTTTCTTCTTCGTCTTTCGCTTCGTCCTGCTTTATCGTTGCATCCGCTGCTTTTACCAACAGATCTACATACTCCGTGTAATCTTCGCGTTGAAACGATTCTCCGGAGGTAAGTTGATGTTGATAATGATGATGATGATGATGATGATGCTCTTGTTGTTCCTGTTCCTGTTCATTTGCATTGGATAGTACACATTCCTGCTGTAATATATAATCATGCTCCACCGTTGAAATATTTTCGAGACACTCGTTATCCTGGTTTTCGTGTTTCAACATTCCTTCGTTAATGGGTATGATAACTTTAATGTCTTCTTCTTCATGACTCAGGCACTCTCCCGATGTTTGCTCTGTAGCAATAGTTTGATCGATTACCTCCTCCATTACCGTGCTTCGATTCTGTTCTGGGGAACGGGAAAGAGTCGTTAATAACGGTATTTGATTGAGTAAATACTGCCGGCCATGCGAATTCACTTTACCGCAAAGCAACGACGTAAAAAGAAAGGATTGCAAGAGAAAAAACAGAGAAACAGTAACGCACGTGTCGACAAGTCGAGACGTAGCATCGCAGCCTACTTTAGAGCTAACAAGCCATGGTGAAAATAAATTTGGCAACAGTGTTACCACTTTCACCTCGATGTAAACATAACCTAGTCAAACAAATGTAGCCTCTTTAAACATTTCTTGTCGTTTATGATAAATAGCGTTAAAAGTGCAATCAGATAATTATAGTTGAATACAATTGAGCGTTTAATAGTGTATATAATGTTGTATATAAACACACACACACACACACACACACA